AAGTGCATATAATATATAAATAAAAACAGTTAACATCAATACCATCAGGATGCAAGGATAGAAAACTCCCAACACTTTGCATAGCAGAAGGGGAGGGGTAGGGCCGTAATTAGATGTTGCAAGTCCTCCAGTGGTATCGCTCTATGATGGAGCAGTGGGGGTAGAGGCAGTGGCGGCTCCTACTCATATGCCTGGTGGAAGAGCTCCGTCTTACAGGCCCTGCGGAACTGCAAAAGGTCCCGCAGGGCCCTGATCTCCTCCGGGAGCTCGTTCCACCAGATAGGAGCCGCCACTGAAAAGGACCTGGCCCTCGTTGCTGCAAGCCTGGCCTCCTTAGGGCCCGGGGTCACCAGCCAGTGTTGTGACCCCGACCAAAGTGCTCTTTGGGGAATATGTGGGGAAATGCGATCCCTCAGGTATGTCGGACCCAGGCCATGTAGGGCTTTACAGGTAAGCACCAGCACTTTGAAGCGAATCCGGTATGCTATAGGGAGCCAGTGCAGCGCTTTCAGCACAGGTCGTGTGTGCTCCCACCTAGGGGCGCCCACCAGCAACCTGGCCACAGCATTCTGTACCAGTTTAAGCCTTAAGATCTAGCAGAGGCGTATCAATTGCCTAAGAAATGTTTTTACATCAGTGAAAACTGATAAAATAGTTGGTTGCTCCAGTCCAAAATTAAAAATGCACAAAACTCACACAAACAAAATGTCAAGTCCAAGACTGTAATAGAAACAAGCTTTTTGTCAGAGCAAGAAAGACTTCAAAATTTCTCTTTTATATTTATTTATCATAATGAGACCTATCATAAAGTATAACCTATCCAGGGCGCAGGAAGATTAGCAACTATAGTCAGTACAGTAGCTTGAGGGGTACTATAAACTCCTCTGAAACATCGTGCAATACATAGAAAATCTACTTCATTCCTCAGCATATAATGACCTAAAAAATATTTATCTGGATTCATGTCACCTAATCGAAATGAAAAGGACCTTGGAAATGAGGCAGGGAAAACCCCTTTGTATGATCTAGACAGGAAAGCTTAAATTTTAGGATTGATAGCAGGACACCTAAGGACGTTTGTGGAAGCAAATATTTTGATTGTAAAAGATCTCACTTGTTATGAATGACTGATTAAACACCTTTAGTAAAGTTTTGTGGAATGAGAACAGATTTTTTAACTGGTTAATTTTAATATGTTTTATTATGGTGCTGTCCTTATAATGACCTGTTTGCTTAAACAATAAATCATATTGAATTTCAATATCTATGGATCAACATTTTGTCCTGGTCTCCTTCTTAGCAATGGAGAGAATATCTCTCTCCTCCATTGTATCCTCACAACAATCCTGTGAGGTAGGTTACACTTAGTGCCTGACACAGGATCACCCACAGTGTCATCAAAGCTTGCCAGTCTCCAGGTGGGGGCAGGGGACCCCCCGATTTTGTGGGCTTTGGCCTACCGCCTGTTCCAAACAGACATCCCTGTGCAATGTCGGTGACGTGCTGATGTCACTTCTGGAAGTGCTGTCATCGTGTCAGTGTCACTGGAGGCAATGCTCTACTTTTGGGGCAAAACTCTATGGTTTGTAGCTGTTTTTACCATAGAGTTTTGTCCCAAAAGTTGAGTGTTGCCCAACATCACCAATGCAATGATGTCACTTCTGGAAGTGACATCAGCATGTTACTGACTCCTCCCCCCCTCGAATGCCCCCAATCCCCTTGCCAGCAGGAGAAAAGCACCAGGCAACCCTTGTTGTCATCTGAGTGCAGCAGCTGGAAGCTGGGCCTGGTAGGTCTCCCTCTATAGCAGGAGACCTAGTAACCCCAAACTCTACTTAGGATGGCACCCAGTAAACCTCATAGTCATTTGAACCCCAGTCTTTCTCAGTCTTAGTTCAACACTCTGACCACTACACCCAGGGGTCGTTTCGTAGAAAAAGAGCTAGGGGAACTCATTAGCATAACTCATTCGCATATGCCACACCCCCTGACATCACCGGAAGTGTGTCATAAGACCACACCCCCTGACATCACCGGAAGTGTGTCATAAGGCCACACACACCGCCCCTGAGCAATTTTCAACTTAATGGGAAATACTGGAAATGAAAGACAGCAAACTAAAAGTGTGTTCTAGAAAAGTTTAGAATCTAAACTCCTATATTTTCTAGTTATCGAATTTAATTTTTATATAATATTTATTTTTTAAAAAAAATATGCAAAATAAAAACAGTGTCTCACGCCCATAAACCCATTGTCTTCTCTAGCCTAACCTGCTGGGAGAGCTTGTGTGGGAATCCTCATTGGGACAGAAATTTGGTTTTTAAGGGCAGCTGTTATTGCCAACATCTTCTCCTGAAACACTAGAAAGCTGTAACTCTACCATATGTAGAAAGCAAGACAGAAAAAAATGAAATGGAGCTCTTAAGGAAATGATAGCATTTACTAGACAAGATGCAGGAATTAAATATAGTGTTATTTGGCTTGAATCGATTTTAGAGCTCTATGAAACTTGATATACAATTTATTTGTGTCTGCTTGGCTAATATCCTCTTTTTCTCCCGTTTTTTTTACTCTTTTTTCTTTCTTTTAAAGTCTGATAATGGGAGTCTGGAGTGGCAGGACTGTACAGTTTTCACTGTCACAACCCGTTCCATGTCCCTTGTTCATACCTGGCTCTGGTAAAAGAGATTGGCTTCTTCTTTGCTCTTCTGTGCGATGGTCTGATACCAGCATTCAATGCTCTGGATGAGGTTGTCCATGTTCAGGCGACGGCTATTGTTCATATTGAGAACAACGGATGTGTCATAAAGTTGACGATTCAGTGCCGAAAGTTCCTGCAGATGGCACAGAATTTGAGTCAGATCTTAGAACACAGCAATAGAGGCTGCATCAGCAACCTGTTGTGAGGTAGAGAACGAAGGCTAATTTCCTCATTTGGTTTTGAGCATTTGATGGTGTGTTAATGAACATAATGTGGTAATTCACAGATCATGACACATCTGTCCTTTTTTTTCAGTAAAAAATTTCCGAAAGAGCCACCTGCCAGGTTAAACATGGGCAGTAAGGGGAAAACTTTGGAAGTGTTCCAAAGAATTTGAACCAGTTCAGACATACACATGTATATACTGGTCAAGTCACAACTGACTTTTAGTGACTCCAGCAAAGAGCTTTCCAGGAAACTGAGAATCAGAGGTGGTTTGCCATTGGCAGTCTCCCATCCAAGTACCAAGCTTAGCTTCAGAAATCTAATTGAAATCAGGCTATTGATTGCCATCTTTCCTCCTTCCCAGTTCTCACAGGTTCCTATAAATCATTTGCCAAGTGCATGAAAGCCTACTACGGATTCCTAGAGACAACTGGAATGTTCTTTCAGCATTGTCCCTGCTGCTGCCGTCACTCAGCCTCTTGGATAATCCCTTCTTTAGGAAGCAGAGAGAAGGGATGCTACTTCTCTTCCCTTGGTCTAGTCATCTGCCACATGTTGAAGTGGCCATGTAAGTACTACAATGCATGCTGCAACTGGACTGGGGCTAGTCACTTATGACCTAGCAAAAATGTGGGCTGTTTAGAACCATGCCAATTGGATATCGATCCCAAGATGGCCGGGTAAAGACCTACCAGTTGTAAATAATAATGATCATTAGCATCGGTGTAGCACTCTTCACAAACAGAGCTCTCAAGGTAGATTCCTTTGGCTTCACTGTTCTTGCCACATTGGTGCACAGTATGTTGCATTCTGGTTTAGGCAGCATCACCACATTGGTGAATATTGTGTTACCATTGTGCTACAGCAATAATTCACAACTGGGTTTTCCTGGGCAGACAAGACAAACCAGGAAGGGAGTGATAGCTATAGCACAATATACAGCAATGCATGGCTGCAGCATTAACGTGGAAGGCTGAGGCATATATTAGTGATACATATGAGAAAAGGGCATATGGTGTTCATCATGTGATTGAGTGCTAATCATGGAACAATGCTGACTTCTGCAACATGATAATCCACACTGTGAAACATAACCCACGGTAAAACCAAAACTCAGACATGCAATGGCATGATTTTGGCCTCTGTGCAGAATCAGATATGTTTCCCTCCCAATGAATGGTTATAGCACAACTTGGGGGGGGGGGATCATCCATGGTCATCCATGGTCTATGGCAGTTGCCATAAGGAAAATGGTGCTTCGAAGGAAAAAAGGTGGGTGAGACCCTTCAGTGTAACTTCCCAACCACATAGCATGGAAACCTGCTTTATCTGTTGTCTCTCAGGAAAAACCATACCCAAGTTGGTTTTGAAAGAACACCGCAAAACAGTGATATACTAGAGAATGGAAAATTGGTCCATGATTGGAGGTCACCATTTACGATGTCCCCCCCCCCAAAAAAAAATCTTGCCCCATTTTATCACCCAAACAGAGCAAAACCTGCATGTAGAAACAAGCTGAGATTGTTTTTGTGAACTCATGCCTTGGGAGAGAAGTTTTCATGAAACCAACAAGACCTTCAACTAGTCTAGGGGTGGTGGAAAGCTCCATCAAGTCACAGCCAACTTCTGGCAATCCTGTAGGGTTTTCAAGGCAAGAGACATTCAGAGGTGGTTTGCCATTACCCGGTCTTTCTTAGTGGCTCCCCCTTCCCAACACTAACCAGGGACAACTTCTGAGCTCTCACAAGATCTAACAAGATTGGGCGAGCCTGGGCTATACAGGTCAGGGTTAACCAGTTTAAAAGGGCACTGATATCAACCAAGACTGTAACACTAAGTGTACATGCTGTAGAACTCTGTTCCAATGAAATAAAAATGTCACTGTGTGAAACTGGGTTTTGGTGTCAAAGGAAGAAATCAACAGGCACAAAAGTCAGGTATTTGGACATCAAAAGCTGTTTTCTACTGAGTCAGGCCCTTAGCCAGTCTCACCCATATTGTTTCTTTGAATGGCAGGTAAGGTCTCCAATAGATGCCTTTCTGGCTCTCCTTTTAACTGAAGATGCTGGAGTTTGAACCTGAGACCTCTTGCATGCATGGCAAAGCATGTGCTCTGCCACTGAGCTATGTTCCCTTCTACAGATGGTGATTAAAACTATGGCAGCACCCAGGGCATCAATGAGGGAGCTGTGTGACCTGTTGCAGTCATGTGGCAAGCGACTTAAAAAAGACTGAACATACAGACCTCTGTATAGAAAACTCTCAAGAAATCAATATTTTCTTTCATCAAGTCCCGCTTCATTTCTAGTTCCTTCTGATATTTAAAGGCAGCATCAACTTCCTGAAAAAGAGGAGATGAAATATTAATTCCTGAATCAAGAAGAATGGGGATATAAATTGGACTATAGTCCCTGAAAATTAGGTTTTTGAAAACCCTGTATCTCTGAATATGGGCCTGTCTAAAGAGCGTAGTTGTACTTTTCCCAGCGCAGCTCAACATATGGATAAAATATGGCAAGAAGGCCTTGGCAAAATATGAATTATATTCCCTGGTTTTACAGCCCTAAGATACTAGTTTCATAGTGTCAGGGGCTAAAACATTGTATACACCACATTCACAGGTGCTTCTTAAATTGATTACAGAATGCCACATGCTCCTATTAGAAAATTACCTGTCATCTATCATCCACCTTCCTCACTGAGATGAGGCAGATTACACAGTATAAATCTACGCAATGCAATAGGATGAGACATCTAATAAGCAATGTAATAGGAGTAGGACACAAGCTGAGATCTGAGACAAACCATGTTAAATGTGAAATGCAAAATTTAGCATGCATACAATAAACTACACAATAAAGCGGGATTAGAAAATTTGAGAAGACTGAAATTAAAAAAATGGCACTTTCAGATGGCTCAGTCGAAATGTATACATATTAATAGGCACAAGTAGGTTATGCACATGGGTCTATCTCACCCAAAGATCTATGTTTAGCAAAATGCACATCTGCCCAATGATACTGTGCTGAATTCACACACATCCTTGAAGTCAGCACCTTTCATCACTACTTGTGTGAACAACACATCAAAGAATATTCTTGTCATCGCCCTTCACTTCAAACTCAGCACTTTGCAGAGGAGTCATTCCACACAGTTAGCTGCAAAGTGTCAAGCAGTCTACAAGGGATGAGGAATCCAGTGGTTTCTACACATGTGAATCACATACATGTAATTTTTTCTTAAGTGGAGTCAATGGCTTACAGTGAAGATGTGTCAGTAATGAAAACAAAATAACATTTCAAATCTGGCAAAGATTAAGACTTGAAATGTTGGGGGGGTTATATTTCAATTTTGAATTCACATTTCAATTGCAAAATCTAAAGTGGAAGTTGCTGTAAGTGAACCACCATTACTTGGGTGAGGTTTTTGACAGCAGTATTAAACACCAGCTTTCTGTGTTCAAAGGTACCTTCCTGTGTTGTGTTTTCACAAACGTTCAAATCTGACAGTATTCACAATCAGAAATGCTGAATAAAAATTCTGACTCGGAAAATATTAATTCAAGCTTTTCAAAGACAATTGAAGAAAAGAGAATTGTTTTGTTTGATCATTTGTTACTCAGATTGCTTCTATGTTAAGAAAGTAGTATTAGTTGGCACATGATGTGCAGGTGATCTGTAACTAGGATCTCCCAAATTCTTGGAAAATGTTAACAGCAGATGTGGGAAAATGGAGCAACTCCAGTGAGGGTTGTGGCTCTGGGAGAGGAGGTCTTCATTTCCCTTCCACCATATCAACTTCTTAATTTGAATCACTCTCAGATCAGCCCTTTGCTCCATAAACCATCCAGGCATAGGGATGGCACTGGGAATGAGGGATCCCCTGCCCCCACCTCCTGTTTCCTGCTGCCACTGCAGCAGCTGGCAAGAGGGGGAAAAAATTGCCATCAGTGTGATGCCATTATGTCAGTTCCAGGGAAACCCCAGAAGTGACATCACTTGTACCATTGAGTCTCCAATGATTCCTAGAGCTGCATTCATGTCACTTCTAGGTTCCCCCCAGAAATGATGTTAAATTGTCAAGCTGATGACACCCCCATGTTTCCACCGATCCCAGATTCCTGCTTATCCAGGCACCATATTTCTATGTTTTCACTTGCAGAGCAAATAGCAGCTCTGGAAGGGTGATATTTTGAAGGAAAACAGTGTGAGTGGGAGATCCCCAACATCATGGACAAAGCTGGAATCTCTCTCACACACACTCACAAAAACCCAAGCCCCCCTTACAGCTACATTAACAACTTCCCACACTGTGGCTGTATGTAATTTGAACCAACCCTTAAACCAAACCATAATATTTAAGCACAGTCAGTAATCATTATATTCACACACATCCTTGAAGTCAGCACCTGTCATCGCTACTTGTGTGAACAACAACACATCAAAGAATATTCTTGTCATCTCCCTTCACTTCAAACTCAGCACTTTGCAGAGGAGTCATTCCACACATTTAGCTGCAAAGTGTCAAGCAATCTACAAGGGATGAGGAATCCAGTGGTTTCTACACATGTGAATCACATACATGTAATTTTTCTTAAGTGGAGTCAATGGCTTACAGTGAAGATGTGTCAGTAATGAAAACAAAATAACATTTCAAATCTGGCAAAGATTAAGACTTGAAATGTTGGGGGGGGTTATATTTCAATTTTAAATTCACATTTCAATTGCAAAATCTAAAGTGGAAGTTGCTGTAAGTGAACCACCATTACTTGGGTGAGGTTTTTGACAGCAGTATTAAACACCAGCTTTCTGTGTTCAAAGGTACCTTCCTGTGTTGTGTTTTCACAAACGTTCAAATCTGACAGTATTCACAATCAGAAATGCTGAATAAAAATTCTGACTCGGAAAATATTAATTCAAGCTTTTCAAAGACAATTGAAGAAAAGAGAATTGTTTTGTTTGATCATTTGTTACTCAGATTGCCTCTATGTTAAGGAAGTAGTATGAGTTGGTGCATGATGTGCAGGTGATCTGTAACTAGGATCTCCCAAATTCTTGGAAAATGTTAACAGCAGATGTGGGAAAATGGAGCAACTCCAGTGAGGGATGTGGCTCTGGGAGAGGAGGTCTTCATTTCCCTTCTACCATGTCAACTTCTTAATTTGAATCACTCTCAGATCAGCCCTTTGCTCCATAAACCATCCAGGCATAGGGATGGCACTGGGAATGAGGGATCTCCTGTCCCTACCTCCTGTTGCCTGCTGCCACTGCAGCAGCTGGCAAGAGAAAAAGAAATAAAATTGCTATCAGTGTGATGCCATTATGTCAGTTCCAGGGAAACCCCAGAAGTGACATCACTTGTACCATTGAGTCTCCAATGATTCCTAGAGCTGCATTCATGTCACTTCTAGGTTTCCCCCAAAAATGATGTTAAATTGTCAAGCTGATGGCACCCCCATGTTCCCACCGATCCCAGATTCCTGCCTATCCAGGCACCATATTTCTATGTTTTCACTTGCAGAGCAAATAGCAGCTCTGGAAGGGTGATATTTTGAAGGAAAACAGTGTGAGTGGGAGATCCCCAACATCATGGACAAAGCTGGAATCTCTCTCACACACACTCACAAAAACCCAAGCCCCCCTTACAACTTCCCACACTATGGCTGTGTGTCACTTGAACCGACCCTTAAACCAAACCGTAATATTTAAGCACAGTCAGTAATCATTAGAGATGACATTCTTGGCACGGCATTGTTTGAATGCTACTGCTGTGTTCTTCCATCTGGCTGCATTTTTGCAAATGAATATTGATCAGCAGTAGTCAGTCTTCAGGATCAGGACCATGTCCATGCTGAACAAAAGCATGTCAATGTTAAAATAGGCCAATGGAGCAATGAGTTACTTGAGAGAAGCTTAAACCATCCCTCTCCCTGCACCACAGTCCTTATCCAAATTGGGTAGCCATAAGCCTCAATATTAAGTTACAAAAAGAGCTCTGATAGAATCCCAGCATATATCAGTATGGCTCTAAGCCCTTCAGCTCACAATGAGGAGGCAAAAGGCATTACTCCCAGAAGCCTCCATGCTAAATATCAAGGCATACATATTTTCTGATAGGAAACATCTGAAAAGGTGGAGATACATGGCTGAGTAACCTGTGTGTGGCTCTTTAGTCTATGGCAGAAATGACAAGAGGTATTCATTATTGAATCACCAACAATGCAAACGTCAAAAGCAACTCAGTTGCAGTTCCCTGCTGGACACATGGTTGGTGGTGAACTCCTTTGCATTCTGCCATTTATTACTGACACATTTCATGTAACAGTGCAGCTGGATTATTTACCTTCTTCAGCACGACAAAATCATTCTCTGCATTTGTTCGTCGGTTCAGTTCTTCTTGATACCTTGAACGATTTGAAAGAATAGAAGGAGTGGGACAAAAATGAAGGGTTTTTAAAATTACAGCCCACTAGGCAGGTATGAACCAGACTATATCTCCTAAAATTCTGTCTCTGAGGGACAAACCATACATATAACAGTTCTATGCTGTCCACTTTGTTAGGACTGCTAACTTTGGATGGGGAAATGGGCTTGCCAGATTGCCCTTTGTGGCAAACGATCTCCCACCCCCAGCTGCTCTTTGTTCCATCGAGAGCAAGGATGGGGGCTGGGAATTGGAGCTGTGATGTCATTTCTGGTTGTACTTAGAAGTGACATCATGGCACTCTAGGAATTCCCTGAATCTTGATGGTTTTTACCATAGAGATCAGTAAATTCCTGGAGTGCCATGCCATCACTTATGGGTACAGCTGGAACTGATTCCACAAGGTCTCTGCCCCATTTTTGCTCCCACTGGAGCAAAGAGCCCAGCAACCACCCTTCTGGGAAATTCCTGAAGATTTGGAGGTGGTGCCTGGGGAAGGTGGAGTTTGGGGATGGAAGCAAGCTTAGCTGGGATATGATGCCATAGAATTTGCACTCTGAAGCTGTTGTTTCCTCCTGGGGAATTAGAGTTACCAGTCAGGAACTGGCAACTACTGGGAATTCAGGAGGGGTGAAGACATGGGGGGCACTCTCAGGAAATGGTATGACTTCACTTCTGGAGAAAACCAGGAAGTGACAGGGCCTCTCTTTAGGAACAGCTGGTTTTAATTTGGAGTTTCTGGTGATTTCTAGGATGACTGATGTCACTTCTGGTTTTTCTCCAGCTGGCCACAGGAGCATGCCCCCTGCCCCTGTAGTGGAAACTGGCAAGCCTGAGGTGAAGGGTGCAATCATGGCAGCTGAACTTACATAAGCTGCCATTTTCTCAGTCTCTGGAATCAGCCAATGAAACATAGCAAATGGAGAGGGAAACTCAAAATACGAAGGTTTCACATTATGAGTTCGTATCACTTGACTTACAGGAAGAGTGGTGAAAGGGTTACAGAGCTGCTGTTTTCATTGAGTTCTGAGTGTTCTAGATAATCTTGTCCAGCTCTTTGGTTTATGTAGTAGTTACAGAAGCAAAGTTTTAAAAGATTCTAAACTACCACCCACCCACCAAGGCCAACAAGGGGAAATGGTGATGTTGCTTACTTGGATCTGTGCTCCTCAACAAGATTCTGCATGGCTTTGTGTTGGATCTCAAGTTTGTTCTTCTCACACAATACGAGGTCCAGTTTCCTCCTCAGGTTGGTGGTGTAACCTTCACAGAGAGGTTTCAGATCTTTCTTCACTGCTGGAATATTCTGGTTTTGCAGCAGCTGCCATTTAGTGCGCAAGATCTGGTTCTGCTGTTCCAAGCACTGGACCTGAAATCCACCAAGTACAAGATACAGTATATTATCAGTGAACCACCTAGGCTTTTGGAAGTAAATCAATGCATCAGTGGCTAAGTGAAGAATATTTCACATGTTTAGGGCTACATTTTGGTTTTGATAGGGCTATTTCAGACTGGTTTTGATAGGGCAAATTTCTAACTAGCAAAGCAGACTTTTTTGAACTAACTGTTGTTGTTGTTGTTGTTAGCAATTCAGTCATGTCTGACTCTTGGCAATTCTATGGGCCAGATCTCTTCATGTTTTCTATTCTTGTACTGTTTCTTTGAGTCGTTCCATGCTCAGGCTGGTGTCGACTTTTATTGTGTCTAGCCACTGTGTTCTTTGGCAGCCCAATTTCCTTTTGCCACTAACCAATCCAAGCATAATTGTTTTTTCTAGTGAGTTCTTCTGCATGGCATGGCCAAAATAAGTCAATCACTGTTTTATTATTTTTCCTTCCAATGACATGTCTGGTTTTATGCACTCCAATATTTGCTTGTTGTTTGTCATCTTTACTGTCCAAGGAATGCACAGGAACCTTCTCCAGCACCACAGCTCAAATGAGTCGATTTTCCTCCTGTCTTGCTTCTTCATGGTCCAACTTTCACAAACATAGGTTGCTATGGGGAACACAATAACACAAACTAATTTGCATTTGGTTGCTAGGCTGGTGTCCTTGCTCTTCCTTATTTGATTCATGCTTATCATTGCTGTGCAACCCAGCGTGATTCGATGTTTTATTTCTGGACTGCATTCACTGTTTTGGTTGATCTGTGATCCTAAGAAAGTGAATTCTTCCACACATTCAATCTCTTCATCATCAACAGTTATTTTGATGTTTCTCTTCTTCTCAGTGGCCATGAACTTGATCTTTTGATGTTTAGGAAGAGGCCAAACTTCTCACTTTCCTCTTTGATTTTCTTGATCAGGTATTCCAGGCCTTCTTTAGTTTCCGAGAGGAGGGTTGTGTCGTCAGCATATTGAAGATTGTTCATATTCCTTCCTACAATCTTTACCCCGATTTTTGACTGAACTAACAGTACTCTTATATATATTAAATTACCTTTACTATGTGATAATGACCTGTCTTCAAAAGAGGCAACCTTCTCTGTTTCTGCATAAGTCGTAGTTCTAAGTATAAAAGGTAAAGGTTTCCCTTGCTCGAAAGCTAGTCGAATCCGACTCTAGGGGGCGGTGCTCCGTTTCCAAGCCAAAGAGCCAGTGCTGTCCAAAGACATTTCCATGGTCATGTGGTGTTAAGTCCGGCGCTTAACAATGAGTCGGAGAGTGATTTCAGCAAAGACTCAAGTTTATTCAGCTCTTTGTTCACTTCTTCGACACGGTACAACATCTGATAGCCCGAACAGTTTGCCCATTGAAACTGCCCGGTATTTAAACATTCCCGGCTAACATAGCCACTCCCACTATACACATAACAACCTATCAGGTTGAGCGCATAAGGACCAATCACAAACGTTCCCGCTTGCAGCTTGCTTGAATGTGATTGGGTCGTGAGTCTTGGACTAGGATGCTCTGTCCAAGACGAAGCTTAACATTGCTTCCCTATGGGAGGTTTCCCATAAAACCTCCTGTACTCATGGCAGCTATGAATACATTACAATTCCCTCCCCCCTAAGCAAAAATACCTCATGAACAGTCGTAATCACTTAGGTAGGTGGGTGCACGTCTCGTTCTCTGAGACCTACGAGGTGAACTCGTCTCAGGGCATCTGTCCCTCAGTGGTACTCCGTTTGACTCTGGGACCTCAGAGTCAGGAACATCCCCGTCCGTTGCATGCGGTTCAAAATTAGGGGTCTGCCCTGTCTCTTGACCGCTACCGTAGCCCTCAGGCTCTACAGTACCTGCCTCTTCTAAAGGCCATGGGGGTTCCTCCGCAGACTCAGCCGGCTGCACGGTCGGACGGTCAGTTGCCCACCGCTGCCTCAGCTGGTCTATGTGCCTACGCCACTTGCGTCCATCTGCAAGCCGTACCACATACATTCTAGTACCGATAACATCGGTGACAGTGGCTGGAAGCCACGAGTGACCACTGGCATAGTTACGAGCATACACTTGCTCACCCTTTTCGTATGTCCGGACCTTCGGACTCTCGGTCTGTGGTTGTGGTTTCAGATCGTTCAGATCTGGATGCAACCTATCTAACAGCGTTGCTAAACGGCGACCCATTAACATCTCGGCCGGGCTGCGGCCTGTCGCCGAACAAGGGGTAACATGTTGTCTCAGGAGAAATTTCTTGCTTTCAAACTGCTATGTTGGCAGGAAGTTCTAAGTGTACTTTATAACAAAAAGGCAGGAGTGCAGAACAGAGACTCATGCAGAGATAAAATGGCGAGCATTCTCTGAAGGTGGATAAATCCGATGTATCTCATTCTCTGCACTAGGACTAATACTGCAGTCCGAAACAGAGTTAAATCCTTTTAATCCCATTAACCTCAATTGACATACAAGGATCTAACTCTGTGTAGGATCGCACTGCAAATGATCTAGTCATACTAGATGCAATAGCATGATGACTGGAAGAAGGCACAGTCACATACAGTAGGACATCGGACAACCTATTCTGAGGATGGGTATTTTGAACTTGTGGGTGTCTTTGTGGGTTCAAGGAGGGGTAGAGGGTGAGTCACTGGAAGGAATAAGACACACACAGCACCTTTTGGTAAAACATGGCTGCAGCGTTTATTTGACTACAGACAAAGGAGCAATAGCACAGCATGAGGACGGATCCAAGCATCGGTCAACCCACCTGCCGACCCAACGAACCCCTTCCCCAGCCCACCTGCTGGGGTAAAACCACAGAGTGGCAAGATAACAGGACACACGTGGGCACTGGCCTCTACCTTGTCCCGTTGCCACCTGGTGGTGTAAGCCAGCCAGAAGCTGTGGCTGACTGGTTCCACACCCCAAGGCCCCTTATGGGAGCCCCCAAAATGGAGGGGGCAGGCATGCAGGTACAGCCTCCTCCCCAAACAGATCCGTCCCCATGCCTAAACTGCTAAGCTGCAACAGTAAAAACAAAGACAAGTAACACATGAATCATAACAACCAACATACAAGAGTGAGTGGGTGGGTGGGTTGGCAAGCCAGGAAAAGAGGCTGAAGGACATGTGTGGGCTTGCATCAGTAGCCCCTGGGCTCTTTCTGCCTGTGCCCACCCTCTGACGTGCCGTATGATGTGGCACGCTGAGGGGAGAACTGGCTCGGCCCTTTTGCATAGCCTGAGGGGGCCATGTAGCCAAACAAGCCCCCTTCCAGCCTTCCCTGTCTCCTGGACCCCAAACAATGGCTGGCGAGTCTCTTGATATGCTTACCTCTTTAAACGGCATGCTATCAGTCAATGAACTGATTTTGCAGTCTGAATGTGAAAGAAAGAAAACAGGTGAATGCAAGACTGTGAAATTTTGGCATTCCACCTCAGTATTTTGTATCTAATTCTGAATCTGGCTCCCAGCATGTGAATCAAAAATCCACACAATGGGCTCAGGGACAGACAAGGGAAATGTTTCTACAGATCGCAGAAAAAATCAAAAAACTTTAAGGGGGAGGGGTAAAAATCCTCCTCCCGACAGATAAGGACACCTAAGATCTTGTGAAGGATCACGGTCAGTATGATCAGTTTGCCCAGTAGCTGACATGTGACGGGAACCTTGGCCTAGACAACTGGATACAATGGTAGGCTTGGAAGAGGGGGGGGGTAGTGAAGTGGGAAGGGAACAAAAGCAGCAATGGAGTGGAAACTGGAGAGAAAGAAGCAGTCAGGCGGGAGGGAGAGAAGGGAGAGAGAGTATTGCTGGGAGAAGGGAGAGATTGGGGACTAGTGGAGAGGAGGGTGGGATTTCCCATGTGTCTCCCCCTCTGTCTCGTGGGTCCCCTGCTTGTTCTCCGCAATCACTCCTTTCTGCCCATTGTTTTTAACTGTTGTTTCTGTATGTATTTTAGCTCTGATTTTAATTGTTTTAATGAAGGGGTTTGGAAATTATTTTCATGGTTTTAAAATGTGATTTTATTGTGTATGTTTTAATTTGCAAGCCTCCTTGGTGGCTCTTGTAAGGGCAAAAAGAGAGGATATAAATTTTGTAAAATAAGACAAACAAATTCATGTCATAAAACTTTTGCAACCCTGAAAACTGAGTGGGCAGAAATGCTTAGACCCATTCAGTGGCTTCATACGCTTTCCAACTCCTTCCAACTCTTCTTTTTCCTCTTCTTCTTCTTCTTCTTCCCCCCCAAGATCAGCCCTCCTCTCCTCCCACCCAGCTTTCTTTGGTGGCACATTAACATCATCTAGAGCTTCCAGGTCTCCTGCTCCAGCAGGTGACCTCCCACTAGAAGCCTTGGTCCTGTTTCACCTCTCATTAGAATGCGGGGGGGGGGGGGGTGGGGGCAGAAAAGGCATCCTGCTGACACCTATTTGCATGTGATGGGGGCAGAATAGGCATCCTGCTGACACCTATTTGCATGTCCGTGCCCCCTAAAGCTCCCCTTGGGTGCCAGTACTGGGCTGGCAACCTTAACATCTTCTCAGGTAGGCATTGCATGTATTTTGGCACTTGGGCCAAAAAAGTTCACCTACCTCTGATCTAAAAAGTCTGTTTGGATGTTACCCTTGTTCAGCCTGTATCTTCTCTTATGACTAGTCTGCTCATGAGAGCATGGTCATGTGTGCATCAGGAATTGATAGGGGAAAGTGCTGGAATTTTCAATTATCAAGGAAGTTTCAGAATTAAGGTTACCATTCCCCAGGTGGGAGTGGGGGATCCCCTCCTTTCGTGGGCTCCTGCCCACCAGCGGCCAGAAGACTGGTGGGAGTAAATTCCCTCTACCCCCAAACAGAGACATGTGCATGACACACTGACATCACCCAGAAGTAATGTAGGTGCATCAATGACATTGGGGTGGTGGTGACGCTCTGGTTTTTGGGCCAAACTCTATGGTTCGAGGGCAATTTTACCATAGAGTTTTGCCCCAAAACCAGATCATCGCCTCCGACATCACTGGTCTGCCTACGTCAGTTCCAAGTGATGTAGGCACATTGCGCGATGTCCTGGAACACCTCCCCCAATCACCCCATCGGTGCGATGATTGGACCTGGCAACCCTATTCAGAATCTAGCAGAGAACAAAGCAGAACAGCCAGTGGAATCACCCATACACGTTTATCATGCACACATATGGCTGGATGATCACAGATACAACCCCACACATAGAATTTTCATGTCATCTCAAAGTACCTCAAACCACACAGTTGCCTCACTTTGCCCATTCATATGCCAGTTGCCATGCATTCAGTCACTAATCACCAAGATATTATAACTTACATGCATGTGGGATTCAAGCCTTATGTGTTTTCTGTATACGATAGGCTTGTGTAGTTTTCCCCTTCCTGCTGTGGCTTCCAATACAGGGCTGTGGCCATGAAGCTTCCCTATGGCAAGTTTTTTTCACTTTCTCTGTCCCAGACTCCTAGCAGTGGCTATTCCTCCCTGCCATTTGGAGGCTTTCAGGATTAGGTGTTGTTGTTTTTTTAAAATGGCAATTGTAAATTCTTAGAGAGCCAGTTTAGTGTAGTGGTTAAGAGCATGGACTCTAATCTGGGAGAATCAGGTTTGATTCCCCACTCCTCCACATGCAGCTGCTGGTGTGACCTTGGGTCAGTTATAAGTTCTTTCAGAGCAGTTCTCTCAAGGGCTGTTCTCAAGAGAGCTCTCTCAGCCCCACCTACCTCACAGGGTGTCTGTTGTGAGGAGGGGAAGGAAAGGGGTTGTAAGCTGCTCTGAGACTCCTTCGGGTAGTGAAGGGCAGGGTATAAACCCAATTTCTTCTTCAGTCTCTTCTTATAATGTTCTACCATGTTCTCTGAAATCTCAGCTTTTAAAAAAAAGTCTCTAGGCCCTTTAGTTGTGGAGATATAATGAGACAATTGTACCTCCACAACAAAAGGAGTCAGAGACTTACTTAAAAATGATTTGATGACTTGCGGCTTTGATGAGTAAGGAGAATTTTAAATAATAGGGAAGAATATATGATTTGGTGCATTTCTTATGTTTAAATTTTAGATTTAGTATTAAGTGATATATGAAAATCTTAATAATTTTAAATATATATATAATCTGGGAATTCAGTTAAACTTGATTGTTCAGTGCTATAACAGCAGCCCCTGTTCACATGTTACAGTGAACACACAGTCTGCATGTATGTGCATACAGCTGCCCAATGCCCATTCACTTTACATATGAAACCAGGGACCAGTACCTGGGTAAATGTGGGGTTTCAATTATGTGTTCAGCTGCACGTGCATTGAATGTAACATAATAATTATTCTGCGTGTGCATAAAGAAAAATCACGTGCACCCTGATTGTATGTGTTTTCAACATAACTTGGGAATATGGCTGCTATAATGGTATGTCATTACTGATATATTTATTTAAAAACAACCCTGGTGGCAAGGAATGGCTGCTGCAGGGGACCAGGTCAGGGAAAATGGCACTGAGCAGGAATTTCTCGTCCACAAAAGTGCCACCCTGGCTATGCTGTGAGCTTCCTCAAAATATCACAGCAAAACAGGTTTGGGAAAGATGGCAGGAAAGGCAGAGAAAACCCGGGAGGTACACGGAAGTGCCACAGTGCTGTGAGAAAGTGGGAAAGTAGCTTCCAACCTGGGGAAAACAATCAGTATGTAAGTGACCCTACTCTTTAAAGCTCCCAGATTAATTTTTTGCCTCACTGTAGGAGTTGCTTCAGAAATGAATTTTCAGTTGAGTTATACAGTGAGGCAGAAACACTAATCTTATATTCTAATTGCAAATTGGCCACCTTGGGATACTTCAATCCGGCGACGGGAGCTGTGAATGGGCAAGACAGATCTTTCTACAAACCTGAAAAGCACCTCAGATTTGTAGGAAAATGTGAAATCTTAAAAAAAAAACACCACACACTTTGGGGAGTTTTAAAAAATCAAAATGATAAAAGGAGAGCCTGTAGCTTTAAAAAACGGATTCCCTCAGTGGTTGTTGCTAGGTAACCAGAGGATTCCAGGCTTCAGTTTCTGTGAGTAAAAGGCAGAAGGAGGGGGCAGGGCCCTTTCCCCTGGATAAAATGACTACTTTGCAAGGTGTAATCTATGGCATTATACCCTGCTGAGGTTGCTCCCCAACCCTCACTATCCCACGGTTCCACCCCAAATCTCCAGGAGTTTTCCAACCTGCAGTTGGCAATCCTGAGGGGAATTGATCTCCGTAGTTGGGAGATCCGCTATGATTCCTGAAGAGCTGCTGCCACCACTGCTGCTGTGGGGGGAAGTTGGTGGGTGGCTGGAAGCACCACTGCTGATGTGCAGGGGGGAGGAAGCAAGCAGGAGGCCAGGACAATGATGGGGGGAAGAAAGAGAAGAAGAAAAAGAAGAAGAGCTGGATTTACACTCTGTCCTTCACTCGGAGTCTCAGAGCAGCTTACAGTCACCTTCTCTTCCTCTCCCCACAGCAGACAGTCGTGAGATAGATGGGGCTGAGAGAGCTCTGAGAGAACTGCTCTTGAGAGAACAGTTCTGAGAGAACTGTGACTGACCCAAGGTCACCCAGCTGACTGCATGTGAAGGAGTGGGAAATCAAACCCGATTCTCCAGATTAGAGTCCACCATTCTTAACCACTACAGCAAACTGGAGTGATGGGGTGAGGGGCAGAAAGAAAGAGAAAGAGCAATGACATGGTGAAGCAGGAAAAAAGATAGAGAGATGGGGTGGGGGAAAAAGAGAGAGAAAGTGACAGGCACAAAGAAGAAAGAGAGAAAGAAAGGGGGCAGCAGGAGGGAGACAATGAGAGACTGGGAGAAGTAGGGGCAGTAGGAGGAGAGGGGAGGAAGCAAAAGGGGGGGTGGGATAGCCGCTCTCACAAGTTTTTTTGTAGGTCATCCCTTGTCAGAATTCTAATTCTGCTTTGAACAATCTACATGTTCAGCCACTTGTGGATCTGTTTTTTGTTTGAAATCCAGATGACAGAGAAAGAGAATAATTGGTAGCCTCACCTTGTCAATAAAGCAGGCAAACTGATCGTTGAGGGCCTTTATCTGCTCCTTCTCATGTGCTTTGATACGATGATCATTTGGATCGACCCCCACAAAAAGAGGTTGCAAGAGATTCTTGTTAACACAAACCTCACGGATGCCGTTGAATCTGCAGCTGCATTCAGAACCTTGGAAACCGCCACAGCAGGACATTCTTTGCCTTCCACCAAAGTTATGGAAACTTTGGCTGGTGTTGTTCCCTCTGATCCCATATGTGAACCCCATCGGTTGACACACTGGGGGCTGGCTGGGTCTGAATCCTCTACTGCCATCAGTGGCAGAGACTGAAGTAAATGATCTTCTGTTGCTGGGACAACTGAAGACTGGTTGGCTCATTGTGTTTCTGTTGGCGAAGCGGGAAGCCCAGCAGTGCTAAAAGAACCAAGCGACTCGGGAGGAGAGGAGAAGGAAAGAGCTTCTTTGAGGCCAGACCTGGAGCTCCTCCTTATATGCAGTAGAGCAGGCGGGCTGGCAGTCTGAAACCTACAATGTTAATTTTGGATATTACTAGGTTTGCTGTGCCTGGCAGCAAGACACTGACCTTCTCTGGTTGAGTGAGGAAGAAAATAGTCCTGGACAAGAACAGAATCATACAGGAAGCATTATTTTTAAATCACCATTTGCAACATTCATTCAGAAGATTTTAGGTTCCATTAACTAAATTGGCTGCTCTTTAGTTGGGTTGCAAACATCTGAAGTATTTGCTCCTTCCCAGTCCATGCAAATCTCCAGTCTCTCCTTCTCTGTTGCTGATGTCAACAAAAACTATTATCTGATAAGTGTGTGGATTTTTTTACAATCACTGATGGCTAGGATTGCCAGCTCCCCCTGGCCACCGGCGGGGGATGATGGTTGCCAGATCCAGGCTGGGAAACTCCTGGAGATTTGGGGATAGAGCTGGGAAGGACAGGGACCTCAGTGGGGTACAATGCCATAATGTCCACCCTCCAAAGCATCCATTTTCTCCAGGGGAACTGATCTCTGTATTCTGGAGATGAGCTGTAATTCCAGGGGATCAGGTGCCACCTGAAGGCTGGCATCCCTATCGATGGCATTAGGGATGGGCACAAGCCACATTTTTGCAGTTTGGTTCATGGCTGAACCACAAACCGGACCATGAACCCATACAAACCGGGAGGTTGGTTCGCAAACTGACCTGGGTCATATTGGTTCATGAGCCATTCAAAGTTTAAACCTCTGCTTTCTCCATATAACTTTTCACAGGGAGCAGAAAGCAGAGGTTTTCAACAGCCCAAGCTCGGCTGTTTGGTTTAAATGGCTCCAAAACATTTAAACCAAAACCATTTAAATCAAAATGGTGCTGAGCCATTTAAACCAAACAGCTGAGCTCCCCCCTGCTTAGCTGGTTTTTTTGTGAAGAGCAGAAAGCAGGGGTAAATCCCTGCTTTCTGCTCTTCATGAACCACAACAGATGGCACCAAAATTTGTGAAAGTTCATGGCAGTTCTTCAGTTCGTAAACATTGCCGCACGAACTGGCCAAAAGTTAATCAGCTGGTTTATGCCCATCCCTAGACAGCATCCATCACCTTCTTTTCTCCCCAAGTTAATGGGGCTGACAATATGCCTACTTGGCCCTGCCATTCTCTTTGCTTGGTGAAAGAACTGGCACACATACTTCTCTCTATCATGCACAGAATGTAACATGTATGCTGGGGAGACCTACACAGGTGACGTCCCCAGGTGAGGTGAATTTCTATGTGCTTCCACTTTTCTGGCATGGGAAGAGGCTCATTGGGTAAGGTAAGCATGCAGTCAGGCCCATTAGAATGTTTGGATTGTTATGAATGGAAGGCTTGGCAAATAAAAACTGAAACCCATGACTAATACGCGAACAATCCTAGTTGGTTGTTTTATATAGTGGTTGGAAGAATACATCGGGTGTCCCCAACTGTCTGTAAGGTCCATGGTCAGAGCTATACATTCAGAACAGGAATTATGACAATCAGAAGTCTAGAAGGAAAGAAACAAGTCTAGAAGGAAAGAAACAAGGTGGAGGAGGTTGGACCCATCACTCCCTCTTCCAACCATCAGTGCTATTGACCTTACCCTCCCTTTTAAACAGGGCTACCTAGATTGAGAACAGGGGTAAATGAACCCAGACTTTTTATTTCTGTGGAGTTCCCCATGTTTTTGCACCATATTCCTTGATATCCAAAGAAAGGCCACAAACTGAAACATCTTTACTTTTCTGAACAAATGCTATGAGTGTTACTTACTCCCCAAACAGCAGTTGTACAAACAAAGAAGCACTGAAGGGCCACTGGATGTGTGCAAATGCCTGCAAAAATCACACAGGCAGCTCATGAGGAGATGTACTTTTTGAACACTAATTGCCCATCATCTTGCTTCCTTGCAGAGGCTGCTCCTTCCTCCTTTTCAGGGAACTGAAACCAAGGCGGAAAGTTTCAAACCCTTTCTCAGTGTCACCACTCCAATGAAGGACGAATTTAGATTTGCCACAAAGGTATATGGAGCTGCGGTCAGACATGCCATTTGGCATGGAGGAGAAGCGCCCCTATTTGCATGAGCACACATCTCTTTGGGCTGCAGGTTCAGCCCGTCACTGCTCAATCAGATGCCACGTTCAGGCGAGTGGGGGGGGGGTGTTGGCCTTCTGTTTCCCATGTGCATAAATGAGGAATTGAACCTCCACACAGAGAGTTCCCCATGGAGTATGCGGTTATGTGAATACTGCTAAGCGAGGGAGGGGGAAGGCACTGAGTCAGGACGGAATGAGCAGACCATCCCGACAGTTTGAGAACATGTTTGAGTGATCAGACTAGGGGAAATCCATCTGTGGCCCATTGGCAAGTGTTAGGACTGGACTTTTGCCAGTGTCTTTTAACTCAGTTTCTGTGGCAAGACAGAACAGGGTGCCAGTGACTGCAGGACCTTTCTCAGTTGTTGCTGTCTGATCATGCGCTTTAGATCCATCAGGTATTTGCAGCTATGTCAGATCTAAAGGCACATCTGACTGCAACATGGGTGGCGAGGACAGCTTGCTGGCGCCCTTGCTTGTTTTGCAGCATTGCTGCATGATTCTTTGCAGAATTCTTTGCAGAATCCAACCACATCTTCCCCCCCCCCTTAGTTCTGTGGCAACTGCCAGTTTTTGGTGGTGGTGCTTGTTGTTTAGCCTGACAATTTAAATAGAATTGGACAACTGGGATGTTGGTCCAGCCCAACTGCAATACCCATATTTGGAAACAAAAACTGTCACCATCCTTAGATTGCCGCAAATGTTTCTGACATTTATTTATCTGATTAACTGCTGGCTATTATATTCCCAAAGGGGGAGTAGCTGCTTTTTATTTATTTTTTTTGGCTTCTCTGCCTTGACAGCCTGTGGTGCTCAAACTTGTTTTGCACCAGCACTATTTAATTCAATTAAGTACACACCACATCCTGTGCTCCATGTTAAGGCTCTGCAAACAACACTTCTGGGGCTTTTCCATCAAGGTCTGCAACATTTCTAACCCATTGCACGTTTTTGTTTATTCTCAATATCCTGTCTGATGCAGAGTTCTGTTGAACTAGAAGGCTTGTTGTTTTTATTACATTTCATTTAGATCTAGTAAGAATTACATTTGTCGGTTTGGGAAATGTTCCCTGAACTGCAATTGGCTACCTGGCAGTCTTTGTTTATTTCTATTTGTTTGTCTTTTTAGTAGGGTTGCCAGGTCTCACCTTTGCTGTGGCGGGGGGCTCCTGGCTCCTCACCCGGGCTCTTCCAGCTGGCTGGCGGCAAATTGAGGCCCTTAACCACTAACTAAAAAGTAGGGTTCTTACTAGATCTAAATGAAATGTAATAAAAACAACTGCAGGCTGTAGAATGTCAGTAGTTCAGCAGTTCGAGACCTGGGTGCCGCATGACGGAGTGAGCTCCCGTCTCTAGTTCCAGCTCCTGCCAACCTAGCAGTTCGAAAGCAATAAATTGCAATTAGATAAATAGGTACCACTTTGGTGGGAAGGTAACAGCGTTCCATGCGCCTTGGTGTCTAGTCATGCCGGCCACATGACCACGGAAACGTCTTCGGACAGCGCTGGCTCTTCGGCTTTGAAACGGAGATGACCACTTGAACCCTAGAGTCGGACTCGACTGGCTTTCGAGCAAGGGAACCTTTACCTTTAAAAGCACATTCCCTTGTCTAATAATACTACAAAGAGCCAGTAAGAGCAAGTGCCAAATGTATGTTACTGTGACTACAAGAAATTGCTGATAGTTTACATTATTTTACATTTATTTCCCCCATGAAACTAGTTATTACTATCATTGATCAAGTGGGGCCTGGAGATCCCCTGCTTTTACAACTGATCTTCAGACTACAGAGATGAGTTCCCCTGGAGAAAACACCTGCTTTGGAAGGTGACCTCTATGGCATTGTACCATGCTGGCATCCACCCCCTCCCCAAACCCTGCCCTATCCGGGCTCCTGTCCCAAAATCTTCATGTATTTTGTGACCCAGAGCTGGCAGCCTTACTGATTAATGGTGACTGTCACCATTGGAGAGTTTTAATAGAGACTGGTCATAAACTGAAATTTCTGTCGTTTCTACCAGCACACACCACTGGAATGACCACTGGAATGATGGTTTAGGCCTCCTCTGTTGAACGAATCAGGTAGTAGGCGATGTGAAAGCCCTCTGCCTGACACGTTGTGTAGCCACAGCCAGTCAGAACAGGCAATACTGACTTCGCTAGACCAGTGCTCTGACTCAGCAGAAGTTCCGTCTGTTCAAGCAACTGCAATTGCAATTTTCGTTTTTCCTTTTTACTAAACTTTCACAGACGTCACTTTTTTTTTTTGCGATGCTACTTGTAGATTTATTTGAAACGAACAAGAAGACACAATCACAAAATAGATGACACAGCAGGTGCAGGGAGAAAGGGCAGGTGGTTAGAAAGAAGAGTGCGTTCTGTGATTTATGCCCAGTACATGCTAATTCTTGTAATGATACATTCCACTTGGCACTTGGGGGGGAAAAATCAGATGCACAGGAATCAGTCTTCGTCATGCCCTTTTGAGGTGCTGTAAACATGTACAAGTAATTTACCCCTTGGTGGAGAGACTGAGATCATTAGTTAAAATGCTCTGGGGGAAAGCTGCTTTGTCATGGGCAGAATTTAGAAGGTTCTTTGGACAGTTCTCACCCCCTCCTCCGGTCTCTTTCCTTCCTGGCATTTATTTCCTGCTCAGCTTCCTCAGGGTTCCTTTCTTCTTTCCATGCATTCAGAAATAATAATAACCATGTTATACCCCAGGCATAGGCAAACCCAGATGAGCTATTGATGGTGCATTCAAATGGCAGCGAACACAGGCAGTCATAGCTCCCTTGCAGAATACACATATATGAAATTCTTGCTATCACATCATTTGTTGTTGT